GATTGGCAGCTTGATTCTTCTGGGATCAGTGTGGTCATGAGCTGGCACTGCTCTTCATTGGCACTGTGTCTTCGTTGGCATTGTGTCTTCGTTGGCACTGTTCTTCGCTGGCACTGCACTTCGCTGGCACTGCTCTTCGCTGGCATTGCTCTTCGCTGGCAGTGTGACCTCACTGGCAATGTGACATCGCTGGCAGTGTGACCTTGCTAGCACGGCGCCGGTTCTGCACTTCTGACTTCTGCTGCGAGTAAAGAGGACTCAGAAGGCTCCTTTCTTGGACGGAGAAGACTTAGGAAAGAAGAAATAATTCATCTTCTAGTTAGGAAATGACTTGGGGGAATCATATAACATCTGTACGTTAATGCGATTTTGTGTCTATGCGCTACGCTTGCATAACTTTAGACTTCAACGTTGAGCGGGTGAAATCCGACCCCAACAAAAATGAAATCTTCCATCGATGCAAAGAGGCCCGTTTTGGCATCTACGTGGCAAATCTTCACCGCTCGAATGAGGAATCTATTTAAAGACTGCTTTAACTTCATCTTCGAAACAACCAACCAACCAACCCCCTTGAGATTTCCGAAGATCAATTCAAAACCCTAACAAAGGTAGGTCAAAATTAGCTCTCAAATTTCTCGATTCGATTCGTTTCTTCTAGGGTTTATTCGTTTCCCAGTTCCCGATCTTCGTCTTTGATCTTTTTTTTTTCCTTCCCCTTCTCGGTTGTTTGTTTTCTTTCGGAATCTTATTGCGTCGATCCATGTGTTTGTTCTTTCTCGTGTTTCTAGAATATTCTCTTTATAAGTTTCTGAATTGTTGGATGATTTTCGCCTCTGTTTGATTGAAAGACAGTATCTTGCTGGGCTTGAGTTCATCTGAATAAGATTCTGAATGCATTATCCGATTGATTTCGATAAATAATCTTCCTTTTTATGATAACTATAATCTTACTAGGTAATTTCTTGATTCTATATGGAAATTTCTTTTCTTGATTCTTTCTAGGTAAAGCCATGGCTTTGAGAAGAATTAACAGGGAGCATAGGGACCTGCAAAGGGATCCTCCAGTGTCATGCAGTGCCGGTGAGTATCATTTGGTTTTATGTAATTACTATCAAAATTCAGTAGCTCTGGTTTAGCAAACGCAGTATCAGTTTTAGAAAAGTTACAGTATGTGATTCTAATGAAACATTTTGGTGATGTTATAGGCCCTGTGGGAGATGATATGTACCATTGGCAAGCAACTATTATGGGTCCGACAGATAGCCCATTCGCCGGAGGTGTATTTCTTGTTTCCATTCACTTCCCACCGGATTACCCCTTCAAGCCACCAAAGGTAACAAAAGTTTTGTATTTGTTTGTTATGTTTTTTTTTTTATCTGTGGAGCTTTATTGAATTAGTTTTTGTGTCCGTAGAGCAGAGTGTTCAATCAAGATAGTTTTTTTTCTTTGTGTTGCAGTCACCAATGATTGTTTATGATTGTAGGTTTCTTTTAGCACCAAGGTTTATCACCCGAATATCAACAGTAATGGCAGCATCTGTCTTGACATTCTGAAAGAACAGTGGAGCCCTGCACTCACCATTTCCAAGGTGATCAAATTGTTTCACTTCCATACTTGTTTCCAACTCATGACCACACTTTTTTCGTGTTTGCGTCTCTGTTATGGTCATGTCTTTGTCCATTATCTCCGGTGTGATTGTCCGCTTCGACCAACCGGTTTTATTAACAAACAACATCCCAATCCTGGTTTAAAAATTTGTGATATGGTATTAGTCAAGTAAATTCCTTCGATTAGGAGTTAGGCTATGTTACATGATCATGATCCCTCCATTACCAATATTGATGACATGATATCTGAAATTCTGTTTGATATTTTAGAATTGTAGTCATTAGCTATATCCAAAGTTAAAGATATTATTCGATTCGTGCATATCAGCTAAAGTTGGTCTGCGTTTTCCACAGGTTCTTCTGTCGATATGCTCATTGCTGACGGATCCAAACCCTGATGATCCTCTGGTTCCTGAAATAGCTCACATGTACAAGACAGAGCGATCCAAGTATGAGTCCACTGCCCGATCCTGGACCCAGAAGTATGCAATGGGATGATGATGATTGGCAATAATACGCGCAAAATGGCGCATTGTCTGAAGATAGGAGAAATAAGAAAAACCTGAAGTTTGGCTTTTCCTTGGCTACTTTTGCTTGATTAGTATTATTATTAAACCTTAAGCCGTGTGTGGGGTTTGTACATGAGCTTCGTTATTTGAGATGTTCCAATGGTTTTAGCCAATAATTGGCTAGTGCTGATGAAGAATACACACAAGTTTGCAAATAATGTTCAAACATTTATTATAGTTACGTATCATACTAATAGTGAAATTATTTATTATAATGGACCAACATATTTTGATGATATTAACAGGGTTATACTGTGTTAGATTGCTATTGGCTCTAATTGTTTGTCTAACTAGAAAAGTCTAGGACTCTTGATTAACTAGTTAACTGATTAAAGACTCTTCCAAAATATGTAGTGGTTTCTTTGAAAAATTCAATATGATTTAGTAACAAGCTATTTGATTATACGAATTTAGCTAGTTATATATTTTGTGTCTTTTTCAATGGTGAATGATATCTGACAAGGAAATATGATGTATTCAAATTGAAAAAGATAAAAATGAAATCGGTGTTTAAAATGAGTGTGGGTTCGGTCAAGTCTGCAACAGGTACAATGATTATGTATTTAGATTTGTCTTTTGGGACTTAGTTTATTGGATTTATTTATTAATACATCTTTACATAGTCAAATAGATACTGAAGTAAGGGTTAATTGGTAAATTGGCTAGATAACCTAAAAAAAATTATAATTTAAAAACGAAGCAAATACTCTTATGTGGCCAAATACCATCCATTAATTTTAGGGGGTTTTTGTTAATTTTTGAATTATAATTTTTTTTTTTTTGGCTATCTAGCAAATTGACTCCTGAAGCAATTCGATGTGGATGTGATTTTTTTTGTTTCATTCAAAAACACATCACTAATTCAAGCAAAAAATCATATATATGAAAAAATAATTAGCCCTCTCCAGATTTGTGACACGTGGCATTCACATTTAATCAAAAGACGTTTCGATCTATTCACCTCCTCTCCATCTCCTTCATCTGCATTCGTATGCTTGTAAACTGGTTAACTGATCTTTGGAGATTTCGAAGGGCCATTTGTTCCTCGGTCTGTAAAATTGGGTTTCAATAGGCAGAAGGTTTATGGTGAAGGTGAAGAAATTGACGCAGAAGATCGAGGTAGATCCAATGTCTTCTTCTACTTTGCCTTCGCAACCGCAACCGCAAGAAGCGAAGCTGATTCCTACTCGTGATCTCCATCTCAATCGGTCTAATAGTCAGATTCTTAATCCCTAAACCCGAACCAGTAACCTCACAAAGATGTCAATTACTCTCAGTCTTCATCTTCACCATCTTAGGTCTTGTCCTTGGTCCACTCCCAGTCGGTGCTTGGGCTTTTGTCGGCTTAATCGCTTCAATCGTAACGTAAACGCTTCCTTTCTCAATCGCTTTCTTCGCTTTCACCAACGAGCTTATTTGGCTAACCGCAATTTCCTTCTTCTTCGCTCGTGGGTTCATCAAAACGGGTCTTCGCGATAGAATCGCTACTTATTTCATGAAATGGCTTGGGAAAAGCACTCTTGCTTTATTTTATGATCTTGCGTTGTGCGAAACGCTTATGGGTTTGATTATACCATCTACAATGGCTAGAGTCGGTGGCGTTTTCTTGCCGGTCATCAAATCTTTGTCTCTCTCCGTCGGAAGCAAACCTGGTGACTCATCTTCCAGAAAGTTAGGTGCTTTTCTGATTCAATCCCAATTACAGGTAAAGACCCAAAATCAAAATTCTATCTTTAGATGATTAAATCCATAAATTGAAGCGTTTTCACTATTAAATCAGTAACTTGTAACTTCTTGGATCAATAACATCAACTTTGTAATGGTTTATGAGTTTATATATTTTGTGAATAGTATTAAGGTAATTCTGGTGCGCTACTTCTTACATCAGCTGCACAAAAACTTGTTATGTCTCAAACTAGCCAGAGAGGTTGGAGTTGTACTCTCGAATCCATGGATCACTTGGTTTAAAGCCGCGAGTGTTACTGCGTTTTTCTCTCTTCTTTTAACACCTCTCATTGTCTACAAGCTTTACCCTCCTACGCAGAGGAAGATTAGAGAGCAGAAAAAGATTAAAGCTCGCGCTGTTGCTGAGAAACGAGCTCTAGCGCTTCACTAGGAGGTAAAACGATCTGTAGAATTTACTTCGATTTTTAATTCTACCCTAAAATCTCAATTTCGTTTTTTCCTTGCTTTTTGAGCCTCCACAAAAGATGATTCCGAGAAGAATTGATGTTCTTTGGTTTTTAATTCAACCCTGACATCTACATTCTCATATTCAATGTTCATTCATCTCAATTCTATTTTAGGGTCATCGCTTATTTACTTGCTATGAATTTGCAGTTGTTCCTGATATTGATGCTGATGAGTTTAATCCACTCCTGAGACGTGAGATTATACCTAATATCTTGAACACAATAAAGTCTCTGCACAAAAGACACTCTATAGTTTTGTTGTGATTTTCAGCTTCAGTTAATATATGGTTATGTCTCATTGTTGTTCATACAAATCGCATGAATCTGGTTAGTTTTCGCTTCTATGTTTCATGTTTCTTTTGTTATATGGAGAAAATCATCTATTAGCTTGTATGTTGATCTTAATTTAAAACACTTTGAACCTATGCTAAACCCTATCTCTTTTGGGGGGCAAGTAGGGGAAGAAGCTATGGAGGCTCAATTGGAGGCTCTTATTTAAAATCTTCCTATCTTTGAACCTATGCTAAATCCTATCTCTCACGCTGCAATGTACCATTATTTATTCAAATCCTTTGTAATGTTTTTATTTTCTTTCTTCACGCTGCAATGAAGAAGTGGGTTCCCATGTTTTCAATGTTTAAGCTTTGTTCTCATGTGTTTATGTCTTAAGAAGCTAAAAGTCTAAAATTCTTTGGTTAGAAAATAAGTAATATTAACATTTGTAAAATGAATAATTATTATAGTTTTTTAAAGACTTTTCAAATATTTGTCACTTGTTTCATCTAACCAAATGGGATAATCGTAGAATTTTATAAATTATAATTTTGAGTAACGTTTTTCAAATTTATTTTTACACAATTTGTTTGAGATGAACGAAAAGAGGACGATATTTTTTCAACTCTAATGTTTTATTAAAAAACATGCGCGTATGCGTAGGTATTGGCCTAGTAGTTTTTGAAATTGAATGAAAGTTTGGATTGGGCAGATAGATGAATGAAATAAGGAGGTTGACATTAAAGAAACGCATGAGGTAACAACAGTTAATACCATAATACACGCAATTAATTACACGCGACGACAAAAAACCAGAGAAGAAAACGTGTGCAGACGATATTTTTACCAAAAACGACGTCGGACGGGATAGGTTTTTTTTAATTTATACTACTAGTACTGTATTAAAGTATTAAGAAAAATAAAAAAAAAGGAAGGAGTTAAAAAAACTGCGAATGAGAGACATGTCGGCCATTTCATGGTGGTGTGTCGATACATGAATTAATGAAGAAAACAGAGTCATCCCCCAAATATACACTTTTTGTCAAATCTGTATAGATCGGAGAGAAAGCTCTTCTATAGATTACAGAATCTCTTTGTTTTATAGAAAGAAAGTGGTAACCGTCTTCATCTTTATCTATTTTTCGCTTTTCAGTTACTATTTTTGAACCTCTCCTCCACTCTTA